CATATCAAGTATTTGAGATGTTAACTCCCAAAAAGTTTGTATAAAAATATCACATGAACTTTCCATAAGGGATGCAAAGCAGACACTGTCTTCTTCATGTGGATTTCATAAAGGTGGATTAGGGAAAGTAAATGGCTGTATGTCTCGGTGGCAGAAATCCACCCTTATCCTATAAGAAATTAATAGGCATGCTTAGTGGAGTGTGCAGGCAGGAGACAGGTAAAAAGTGTGCTGTCTGGCAGAGATGAAACCCAGGCTGGTATGGGGCAGGATCATCTCAGATGAACGCCAGAGAGACAGAACATTTACATGAAGGTCACTACAAATAGCCATACACATGGACTTCAAGGCAATTACAGAAGTGATTGGCACCATTTAAACTAAGGGGACAGAATCATCTACCAAGAAGCTGAAATGATGGCAGTACCATTTGAAACATAAGAAGACATAAATCTCAGGGTCAGTGATTTCTATTAAAGGGTGACATTCGCCTGTCATTAAAGGGTCATCTAGCATCCGTGCATCATTCAAGAGTAAACCTCTTCAGGTATAACACCAAGTACACAATGTTGAGTGCTTTGCATCTTGGCAGCTAAAACTTTCCATTGCACTCAGCTCAGTTCAAGGCAGCACTAGATGCTGGCGACTGGCAGCAACTATGGAATTTAGGGGATTATATATTGTCCATGATGTAGTAGATATTTATTACTAACTGTTGACAGACCAGAATCTTCTTTTGCTTGGAAATGCATTATAGTGTCTTCTTCAATAAAGTTTAAAATGCAAGATGTATAGATATTCAGTTTCCTGTCCCTCTTGCAATTAGACATAGGTTCATTAGGCTCCACCAATCAGATGCAATTGCCTTGAATCTTGATTCAGAAGCGAGGAGCACTAAAAATCTGGGATGGAAGAGTCTGAGAGGCAACAATACCAGTTCTCAGAGGCAGTGGTCGTAGTAATGCAGTAACTTTATTCACTGACTACTGCTTATGGTAGTGGTGTTTTACCTGGGGGTCTCTAGGTTTAGAGGTGACATTGTCCTGAATGATCTATTTCCATAGTATGGGCATTTTGGCTGTGTTCCAGGTTAATGCATTAGCTTTCCTTGTTCTTGAATATTTTCCAAGCCTGGATTTCCTGGCAATTATGAACTACCCAGTACTCAATAAATTTGTTTTCTGCTTATGTCAGCCAGAGTTGGTTCCCATTGTTGCCAATAAAACTGTCTGATATAGAATGCATACCCAGATTTCAGAAGGTAATTGCTTTCTGGAATCAAGTATGTGGCTGGTCACAATTTGTCTTTGAGAGGGTCTGAAATCATTTTACAAATAGCTTAAAACCATTCACTTTGGGATTCTGTAATTTCAGTGTCACCTCTTTAAGTTTTTCCACTACATCAGCCTTTGATGAACACTCACTATGTGCTAGTCATCATGCTCAACAGGAGGATATAATACCATCTCCTCATCTCACAGTGCACACTGTTTGAGAAGGAAGATGGACAAGAAGTGGACAGCTGCAATACAGTTACTGTGAAAGAACAGTGGGCTACAGGAGCATCTGGGAAGGTCACATATCCCAGCCTTCTAGGGGCTGGGTCACCGTATATGGGATATCTTAATCTGAATGTTGTGCTTTTTGTCTTACACTCATCCTAATTTTCTACCTTGTCCCCTATTATTTCCTTATTTTTATATTTCCATTATGACATCACTATTTTCCAAGTCTGTTCCCAAAGTACCAGAGAGTACTTTGTCTTCATTATCTGTGTTCATTTAGTTACTAAAAGTATAAACAAAACACACACACACACACACACCCCTGAAATAATAATTTCATGAAATATTTTACTTTATGTGATACTCTCTATGATTTTCTATTCTGTCCAATTTCATGTTTTTAAAAATGATATTTCCAATCCACTACATTGGTTTTGTGGCCCATTAATGTTCTATTACCCAATCTTGACAACTCTGCTCTCTGCTATATATTCAAAACTGTTATTTCAAACTGGATCCCCTCCCCCTTCCCCCCTTTTAAGGCAGAACTCCCTCATCTTAAAAGCAGTAGTGTCAACACAAACAAACTTACTTTCTCCTGCTCTCTAGCCTTCCCTTCTCATCATAGTTCAGAGGATTTTTATTTTCTTCATTTACTTAAATTTAGCTTTCATCCCTAGCATGTCAAAGAAACTGCTTTTGCTCCGCTCACTAGCTACCTCCATCTTTCTAAGTCCAATGGGTATATTTAGTCTTTGTACTGTTGAACATCTCCCTTCTTCAGAAACACTTCTTAACATGTGCTGCGACCCCCCCCCCACCTACTGCTTTTCCGTTTATTTCTCTGATCTCTCCTTATTATAGGTCTTCTTTGCAGGCTCATCCTCCTCCATATGGCCATACAAAATTTTTTAAGGCTCCAGCCTAAGTTTTCTCTCATTCTGTAGTCTCATTATGCTACAGCTTTAGTTTCTATGCACATCGGATATCTCCCAAATGGATGTCTCCTGCCCAGAGTTTCTCTACTTTGACACTATTGACATCTGGAGCAGGATAATTCTTTGTTGTTGGGGGCTTATCTTATGAATTGTACTTTTGTGACATGCATGGCCTTTACCTACTAGATCCAAGAAGCAATCTGTTTTCTTCCAGTTGTGACTACCAAATGTCTCCAAACATTGTCAGTTGTCCTTTTGGGGGAAATGAGGTGGCAGGGGGAGTCACTGCTGGTTGGGAATCACTTCACTGTCCTAACTTGTCATCTCCAGATTAGGCTTCATTTCTAACAACCTAGTTGACAGTTCCACTTAGGTGTTTCAAAGACACTTCAAATTCACTCTGTCAGATTTACCATCAATCCTGATCAATTTACCTATCAATCCTGGTCCTCATCTCATCATCCATTCATTCAGTCCCTCGAGCCTGAAAACTAAAAGCCATGCTTTACATCTTCCTGTCCTTTACCACCTGAATATCGAATCTGTTGTTGAGACCAGCCATTCTTCTCCAACCAGTCTTGGATTGTCAGAAGTTCAAAAGCCCTTTGCTATTTCCTTTCCACCTTTCTCTGTAACTCTGCAAATTTGATTATTTTTCTCTTAAAAAATCTTCCAAATACATTTTTTACTGACCCTCCCATGACACATTTTAATTATCACTATGAGCCTTCTTGCTTCTATCTCCAACTCCAGTTTCTCTTCCGTTTCCTTGCAGTATACATATAAGCCCAGGGATGCTTGCGGAACTTCTGTTCATTATTTTAAAATTGCATGTTCATATTCATTTCTCAAGAACAGAAAAATTGATTCTGAATTTTGTGGTTGTTGTTTAGAACATTCAGTGTGGTTTTTATAGTACATCTGAATGTGACACCTATCAAGTAGGACGTATTATTGTTCCCCACCCAAATATGCTCTCTGCTACTGACAAAGCGATCTCATCAGTGTCTTGTCTGGACATTTGCACACATCGTTTTTCCCCAGCTACAGCTGTACTTCTTCTCTTCCCCCTACTGAACGCCTCATCTCTGAAGGCAAGCTCAATAAATCTTCCTTCAGCTAATCTAGTCCACAGAGGGCTCTCTCCTTACTAACCTCCCATTTATACTTTTAGTTAATACCAAATTTGTTCTTAATTGCTTAATTTGTTTTTAATTTCATGCACAGTAGGTTTTCTATCCCCAACTTGATTGCAGGTTTATTGAAAGCAGGCTTCTCATCTTATGTGTCATCTGAATTCTCCGTTTCACTGATCAGCATGACTGGCACATAGTACACATTTAATAAATATGTGAGTCAATCTTCCTAGGCTTTAAAAAGCTTCTAGAGAAGGCAGAGAGCCTCTTTCAGTTATCTGCCCTCCCACCCTCAGGAGTTCTTTCTTATATCTTTCCAGACTTTCTTCTTTTAACTTTTAAACCTCATTGCCTTATTTTTAAAATCATAGAAATAAACACAAACACGTATGTCTTCCTTTTCCGTTCTTGCAGTGACATTTAAAAATATGCAGGGAAGATTTAAGTGCCTTTGTTACGAAATGTACTCTTGTTGAAAATATTAGGACTGTTCTCTTGAACTCCCTTTTAGATTCCATTGTTTATTTTTTTATTTTTAAAAGAGAAATAAGAAATGGAAATAATGGAAACCATTTATTCTTGAGGTCAAAGTCTTTTGAAAAAACACGTGTGCTCAGAAGAATGAGCCCATCCCAGAACAGAGAGCAGGCATTCTGATTAGGTGCCCAAAATCATTTGCTTTGGGGTGAGTTTTAATATTTGAAGGTTATAAAGGTGAACTCGTGCTGAGTGCAGTGCATGAAAACAGGCTACTTTTGCTAAGCAAATTACTTTGGAAGTGAGTCAGTGCTGGATAAAGAGAGGGGTTTGCTGGCTCTCTGAGGCGGCTGAGGGGAAACTGCAGTTTCTGCCAGTGAGATGCCAGTTATCCATCCAGGCTCATCAATCAGTATCGGCTGTCAGAAATGAGATTGAATGTCTGATTGCCTTGATAATGGCCAGGGGAATGAAGATATCTTGGAGAATGGCCAGAAGCAGGGAAAGCTTTGGGGTTTAACACTATCCTCCAGGAATGATTCTGTAATACTCAGGACCATGTTTCATATTCACTTTCAAATACTCTGTAAAGAACTCTTTTTGCAAATGCCATCCCATTTATTGTTTTTTTTTAAATTATTATTATTATTATTTTTTTGCAGAAGAAACACATGTTGTGGGATCTTTTCCCAATTTTGGATATAAATGAACAAAGTTCATATTTAGACTTTAGATCTATCTAGTTATTTAATGTGTGCCAAACACTGCTGTTTCTTCAGTTGCATCTTTTAATTCTATCAGCAACGTTGTGAAATAATAATAATATTTTCATCTGACAGATTAAAGAATTGAGGCTCAGAATAATCTTGCAGTTTGTTGAAGACATCTTGTAAGAATCAGATTCCTTGATTCAGATGCATGGTTTTTTTTGTTTTTAATTTCAGGTTTTATATTTGCTCCTACCTGCCTTGGACAAAGTCTTGCCCTGTGCCAAATCCCTTGAAATTGAAAGTTTTTCCAGCTTACCACTAACAACAATCACTTCAAGTAAAGAGGGTATGATATTATTTTCTATAATTATTATTTTATTTGTACATATTCATGGGATACATTGTGGTAATTTTTACATGTATGCAATATGTTCTGATCAAATCAGGGTAGTTAACATCCTTGTCTCCTTAAACATTAATATTTTTATTAGCATATAGTAATTATACATATTTATGGGGTATACTGTGTTATTTCAATATATACACATGATTTGTACTGATAAAATCAGCATTGGTAACATTCCCATCTCCTTGACATTACTATATGTGTGGAACCTTCAAGCTTTTAGTTAGTTACAAAACAAGCTTTTAGTTAGTCTTTTAGTTAGTTACAAAACATAATAGGTGGTTGTGAACTATAGTCACCCCATGTGCTATGGAACACTAGAACTTATGCCTTTTGTGTTTTGGTACCCGTTATCCAACCTCCATCTCTCCTTTCCCTACCCTTCCCAGCCTCTAGTTATCACTCTTGCTACCTTCAGCCTCAAAAATAACATTAATAGACTTGTATCAAAAGAAACATTCAAATGATCAAGAAACATGAGTAGGTCATTCTGTGCTACCATTTCTCATAGTGAACCAAGTGGCGAGTGAGACCTATGATTTCAGGTCATATGAACTGACTAGAAGTCTCATTTTGCCATCTGACTGAAAATCTTTCACAGCATGCGAACTCACACACTTGGATTTTAACTGCACATAATAAAATTGTCCTTGAAGATTGCAGACTAGAGCTCTCACATATGAGAACGTCAAGATATGGGAAGGCGACAGTTGATCAGTATAGGGTACTTCTGTTTGTTATAATTAGTTTTGAAATCACTATGAGGCAGGGTAGATATTTGCATAAATTCCTCTGCCCTTATCACTTCCTGATCATTACTTACAGCTGACTCATGCCATTCTGTGACCTGCCTGACCCCTGATGGCATTTGAGTTTGAATTTCTGATTAAAGTTTTCAGAATTCATTATAATTTTCCTTTGGGACCTAGAGGTCTCATTGAGAATTCCAGTCTTTTCCACCCTACAGAACAGTATAGCCATCCACCTGATTAATTTCCCTCTAGCTAGACTCTGCTATGTTCAGGGGACATTTGGAGCCTGAAGGCTAAGATACAATTCTTGGTCTCTAGGCGCTCACAGAGTAGTGAGTGAAATAGGTATATAAAATCACATACAACACAGAAGATATGCACAGGTAAGGAGATATACCACATTAGCCACATGTGCTGGCAAAGAACCAAGGCTTCAATAGAGCATGCAATTTAGGATCTGTGTCTTAAAATTAGAGACGTTTTCCAAAGAAGTAAGCAAGAGGGGACAGTACTAATATATGCCAAAGCATAAATGTGGTCTGAGGGAGCAGGAGCAAGCTGTCTGGTTTGTGTTGTGGCATCATATACATGGAAATAATGGGAAAGGTTGAAAATTTCTAAATTTCTAAAATAATAAAGTGAAGATTTATTCCAGAATCTAAAGCCTTGTAAAAAATAAATGATTACTTCACCAATGAATTTTTTCCCCAAAATGTACATTAGTTGTGGGTACCAATCCCACAAACTGTGTGCAGAAAATCAAATTGTATATAATGCTTCCTGTCTTATTCTGTGCAGCCAGAAGTAATTTGATACCTGAAATAGGCCAAGATATTAAGACATTATAAGTAAAGTACACAACAGACTGATGAATAAAATTTGAAAATATTTCCCAAAGTTTAAAAGCTGTTCAGAAAATGTTACAAATGTTGTGAATCCATTTCAGGGCTGGGGGACCGAGAGGGGTTTCACTTATATATTCAATCATATATAATATGACATATTATATATAATTTTTGTTTAATGTATATTAATTGTACATACTAATGGGTTTCAGTGCGATATTTCAACACATAGATACAACATACACTAATCAAAACCATCCTTCCTTTCTCCACCCTTCCCAACCCCTAGTAATCATTATCCTACGTTTAGGTTGACATTTGTTTGATTCCATAGATGAGAGAGAATATGTGGTACTTGTTTTGCTGTTTGACTGATGTCAGTTAATGTCCTACAATTCTATCCATTTTGCTGCAAATTATAGGATTTCAGTCTTCTTCATTGATGAATAATATTCACTGTGTATGTATACTACATTTTCATTATCTATTCATCTCTTTGATGGGTGCTTAGGTTGAATTCATGTCCTAACTATTGTGAACAGTGCCATATCAATAAACATGGGCATACAGGTGTTTCTTTGATAATGATGATTTCATTTCCTTTGGGTAAATACTCAGAAACAGGAAAGCAAGATCATGCAGTACATGCATTTTTACTTTTGGAGGGATCCTCCATTCTGCTCTTCATATAGTTGTACTGATTTACATTTGCACCAACAGTGTGTGAGTGCTTTCTTCTCCACATCCTCACCAGCATGTTGTTGTTGGTGGTAGTGATATCCATTCTAACTGGAATGAGGTAAGATGGTATATTTTCAGAAAATCAACTCTTCATTTCATTGATCTTTTGTGTTTTTTTAAATTTTTAATTTATTTCAATTAGTTATACATGACAGTAGAGTGCACTTTAATACATCATATATAATGGAGTATAATTTCTCAGTCTTCTGGTCATACATGATGTAGAATCATATGTATATAGGCACATAGGGTAATAATGTCAGATTCATTCTACTATCCTTCCTACCCCAAAATGCCCTCTCCTTTCTTCACTCCTTCTGACTAATCTAAAGTACCTCTATTCTTCCCTAGCCTCCCTCCTCTATTGTGAATTAGCATCCACATATCAGAGAAAACATTCAGCCTTTGGTTTTGGGGGGGACTGGCTTATTTCACTTAGCATGATAGTTTCCAGTTCCATCCATTTACTGGCAAACGCCATAATTTCATTCTTCTTTAAGGATGAGTAATATTCCAATATATACATACCACATTTAAAAAAAAATCCATTCATCTGTTGAAGGGCACCTTTGTTGGTAGTTTTTTAAAAAATACTCTCGTTCATTGATTTCTGTTCTTGTCTTTGTTGTTTCTTTCCTTGTAATAATTTTGGGTTTAGTTTCCTCTTGCTTTTCTAGATCCTTGAGATGCAACATTAGGTCATTTATTTAAGGTCTTTCTATGTTTTGATGTATGCATTTATCACTATATACCTCTCTCTTTATATCACTTATTCTATATCCCATGAAGTTTTGGTATATTGTGTTTCAATTTTCATTCATTGTAGAAAAATTTTTAAATATCCTTTTTGATTTCTTTAAAGACCCATTGTTTGTTCAGCAAAGTTCTGAGGTAGGGCAGGAATGTCTGTGGGATCCCAGAGACAGAAATATGCAGGGTTTCTGACCCCTGGAACTGTGTGAAATCTGACAATAGCTTACTTTTCAAGATAGCACCTCACTACGGCAGCCTGGGTCCTGGAGGTTTGTGGGAAGATGATCGGAGATCTTTCTCCAGAGCAAAGCCACTGTGCAGACTTCCTCAACTGGGATGCAAGCCTGTGACAACTGTGACACTTTCCAGTAGCTAGGATTGCCAGTGTCCGTGCTGATGAGCATGCTGGGACTTGCCAGCTCACTGGTACCCCCACTGAGAGGAATCAACCATCTCACCCAGCTGGGGAGCTGGGGTGGCAATTGATGGGGTACTTTGTCATTCTATACTGTCATTCCAGATCTCTTGAATATTAAAGATTTCAGTCTCTCTCTTGCCAAATTCCAGCATCTCCCCTGGGTTTACTTCTTCAACATACAGGTATCTACCTATTGATTTAGTTCTTTGTAGATGTGGAGGTGAGTGCAATTTGGCCATCTTGAAATCTCAGAAAGGGAAATTTTTATAGGACACCAAGGATATTGTACATCATGCTAACAAGTTTGGGTTTTATTATATAGGTAATGGACGATTTTTAAATGATCTTAATTTATTAAGTAATGGGGGTGAGATTGATGTTTTTGGCAGCTCTATTTGAGTGGAAACTAAAAAAAGAGAATCAAGACATGGATATTGTTTGGAGCTTTATAAGCTCATGAGGCACATGAGGGCTTGAACTAAGGAAATAGAAATGGTTAAGGAGCCTAGTTTCAAGGGGTTAAGTGGTAGAATTGACCCTACTAAGTGAAGAGTAAGGAAGTAAGCCTGGGTACAGTGGTACAATCTGAAAATGGATTGCTGATACTCTATGTCCCTCTCAGGATGACGGTAAGAGCTCTGGGCTGTGTACTTGACCATCCACTTTGTGTGAAGAGGTGCAGCTCAAGATACACATAAACTCACTAGTAGTGGTGAATGGCTTGGTTGGTTGATTAGGGTCCTGTAAGAAGCAACATTAGAAACTGCAGAGAGGAAAGTCTATAGAATGAAGAGAGAAAGAAGAACAATGTAGCATGGCCTATGGAAGTGGATGCTAAGTGTGAGGATTTTGATATTGGGCATTAGGGCCTGCCAGAAGGCATCTCCTACAGAAGACCACCAATCAACCAAATGACCAGGTTGAGATGGACCAATTGTCCACCAGCCTCTGTCCTCAGCTTCCCTGTGTTTGCACAATAGATTCATGAATAAAGTAGGTAAGGTGATAGAGGAATAATCATGGGCCTAAGAGCATGGGCTTCCTCTCACTAAGGCTGAAGTAACTACTGCTATCAACAACGACCAATGGTGAACCCCTTGATATAGTTCCATGCCTTAAAAGAAATATCTAGATTCTTGAGGGCAACTTTGATTAACCCATATTGCCTTAGGAAGGAAAACATTTCATGTTGGGTTTGGCACACATTCTGGGTATGGATTCACTTCCTGCCTGCAGTGCCTCAGCCCAGCACCAAGTGAGGTATCATAAAATATCTGATTTAACAGCATGGTATGCCACAAGAGGGACTCTGAGGGACTTCCATATTTCACCCCATAATAGTCACACCATTTTTTCAGTCCAAAAATTGGTTTAGAAACTTTCATCATGTTATCATCATGTGGTATAATTCTGTTCATCTTGTTGCTGTAA